CGACACTCGCCGGTGAGTTTCCGGCAAACAAGACAAATTAAACAGGAATGAGCTACTTTAAATATCCGTTTTGAATATTGTAATCGTCAAATCTGGAATTCTAGGCCTTTCCACGATAAGATAACAAAGATATTTGATTGAGAAAGCGTATTAATTTTAAAACACTCACTACATAGCGAACAAAGAGAACTGTGTAGGAACGAACGCAGCGAGCAGTCCTATGCGGGTTTCCGAATATCAACGTGCTTCTGACATCACTGAAACTTTGCTCTTGCCTCCGAAACTTGTTTGCAGCGCAACTCGGAAATCCGCAACATCCGCCACTAACTACCTCATATATCGAGTACGAATTTTTAATTTCGCTAATGAATAATGAAACTCTCATGACGCAGGGAATACGAGAGTAAAGTACCAGTGAAATATTCGTTATTCGCCTGAATTTGATACGGAGAGGTTTTTGTCTGAATTCGTTGCTCTGAAAATAAGCAAATTACAAATTTGTTGCCTACGAAAGAAGTGTAAATAATTAATAACGATGAAAAACCTCTCGACGTTCGCCTGTTTCTCTTCGAGCCATTAAGTAGTGTCGTCACATTTCTATAGTGTTCTAAGCGATAAAATATTTCGTAACTTTGAGTCTCTTAGAATGGAATAACTCTGACGAAAAGTAGTCGTTAAGTTTCATATTTAAATATTATTTAACTATTAAGTTATCGTACAAATGTAAATGAGATGCCACAATTTCACAAGTTCTCTTCGTCTAACATATGCATATTGCATTATCGCATGGCTATTATACAAAAGTGACACAGAAAGTGACTTCCTCGAATTCATCAAAATATATTGCGTACGATGTCAAAATTTCGGAAAAAAAAAAAAAAAATGAATACTAAGCAATAGAGCGAACATTGAACCACTCCGAGAGTCATTCGGGTTACCTATCATGGAACATGTCGGAATGAATTCCGATCGGAATTATTTCCCTAGAAAATACAATAGAAATCTAGGAAAGACAATCGAACAATTCCGATGGGAATCCATTCCGGCCTTTTCCACGATAGACGCGCTGGAGATGGAATCGGCGACTTTGGCGTGTGCACTTGCAATTTCCTTCGAGCAGCGTCCCTCTGTTTTCTTTTCTTTCTTTCTTTTTTTTTTTTTTTTTTTTTTTTT